TCCCCCCCCCCCTCTTTCAAACCCACCCTTAGGTACCCTAGCCTCCCAACCCGTTTGCTCCTTTATTTTTTACAGGTAATAATAGGTTTCTGTTATACCCGGTGCCCATTGGCAAGATCGGTTGGTTCGGTTCGTTTCGGTCGTTACAGCTAGCCAGATTTTCCACCATGGAGGAAGAATAGTCAGTGGCACGAACCGAACGAAACCGACGATGACCTACAAGAACAAAAACTTTTGTTCCCAAGGCTGCGATTCGGGCGGATTTGGGCGGATTCGGGCGGAGTCGGGCGGAGTCGGGCGATCGGTTTGAGGCAATACTCTTTTTATAGTGTGCACTGAAGCAACCAGAAACCGAGCCGAACCGAACTGAACTGAAACGAACCCATCCTCAAATGGGCACCGCTTATTAGGTACTAGATTCCTTTCATGTAAATTAATGGTTAGCATTTGCTTTATTCATTAAAAATCTTCTTTAAAAAAAAAAAAGTTGATGCCTCGCAGTGCTCCAAAATCAAGGTTATCCTAAGTCCTAAAGTTGTTCTGAGCCAACCAGGTAACCACCGGAAGAAACCACATTATCATTAGAAAGTCACGGGATTCGGAGTCGATTCTTACGATTCCTAGCTTTCAATAATCGTGAACCTAATTGCATAGTTGTGAAAGTTCTCCTTTATGTGGTTGAACTGGTTTTACTTGTTTCTGTGAAATATTTTTTTTCTTGTGTGAACGATTATAATGTGATTCGTGTAAAGCGCTCAGAGCTTATACTAGTATGGGATAGAGCGCTATATAGATGCAATCTATTATAATTATATCACTATTATCTACTGGTTACCACTATAAGGTACTCACCAGCTTGTCCCCAGGTGTTCCCGCCATGCACGGCAGCTGCACGGTGGACGCCTTGACGGCATAGAATTTGGACGGGGTCAGAGGTAGGGCACCTTAGGACACAGAGTGACAACAGAGAAAATTATGTTGAGTTGGAAATAATCACGATTATGATAATGATAGTATTATTAAAACAGTAGTAGCCTTCTAGCAAAGGTGATTTACAGTAATAATGAAAACAATGAAAATTATATTATTAATGATAAACAATATGTCTAAAATATAATTATAATAATAACAAAATAATAATAGAAGAAGAAGAAGGAGAAGGAGAAGGAGAAGGAGAAGGAGAAGGAGAAGAAGAAGGAGAAGGAGAAGGAGAAGGAGAAGGAGAAAAAGAAGAAGAAGAAGAAGAAGAAGAAAAAACGTCTCTGTCGCTGCTGCTGCTGCTGCTGTTGCTGTTGCTGCTGCTGCTGCTGCTGCAGTCACATCTAACTGGGTCTAATGCTCTAAGCGAAAGAACTAGGGGCAATATTTACGACAACAATAATACCCATGCAAAGCAACACATAATTGATCTTAAAACGTATTAGTTGACAGCAAAGTACAAGAATAAACAATACCTCCCCCGTCCACCCTCTCCCCCTTCTCTCTCGCCACTCTCTCTCTCTCTCTCTCTCTCTCTCTCTCTCAATACACTGTCACCCTCTCAACTGCTAACGTCTCTTCTTTTACACACCCAAAACAAGCACAAAATGAATATGGGTGAACACATTGAATAGCACACACAGAATTCCGTTGATTGACTCCTGCAGAGCGGAGAAAGCAGCGTAAATAGTCATGATTTTCGTGATATGGCTAGGTATGAGTTGATCTCCCATTTAAATTAAGCAAGGTTATTGAAAAAGCGTTCTTTCTCAGAGAATCGGTAAGTGTGGAATCAAAGACACGAAAAGCCATGAAGCAGGCAATTCTTTTCCTTTTTTTACGTGTGTTACGCACCCATTGATACAGTTTGGATCATATAGGACGCAGACTTCGACCCTCACGCCTGTTAGGGTCAACTCGAGCTGCGAGTGATACGACGACGTCCCAGCAGAGAAACCTAACTACTCGATGAAAACTCTCCCCACACTGGAACCAAACTAGAGTCTTCTACGTACATCACGAAGCAACTGTAACAGAAGCCCCATAATAGTCGATCGTAGAAGTAAACAATGTTCAAGAAATTCACAATCGGTAAGTTAATGAATCTTTAAGGACTAAATAACTGTAAATTGTTGTACCACTCCCTCCACCCCTCAATTTCACATACTGCTGATGATTTCGGAGGCCGGTTGCATCGACCATGACTGTTTCGCTAGGGCCAAACCGGGCCCATAGAAGAACGGCATCAATCGAGAAGCTTAAGGAGAATCAAGTACAATCTGCCGAGTATTTGTAAAATTGTAACCGGCGAAAGAACTGGTTGACCAGGACTCCCTCCCGAAAAAAAAACCCGTTAAAAAATTGATTTCTAACACAGTCTCCGATTCATTCTCTCAGGCATTCATTCAGCCTACATCAAGCATTCACATATTCACGAAGTCATTCATGTTCTCACTCCCTCCCATCCCACATTAAATAAGTTGTCATTTTTGTTCGTACTACTTTCTCTCTCTCTCTCATTCTTTTTCTTCTACATCTCTTTCGTCCTTTCTTTTCTAAAAGTTCACAATTACTCGCATGCACAACATTTTGCTCTCTCATTCATCTTCTCATCA